TCCTTTAGCCCTAACCGTCAATACATCAGTACTGATTCCAGTGACGTCCTAGTACCAGTGAACGGGTGACAACTGGTGCCCGTCAGCATTTTACTTCATGTATCTACAGTCAACGGAGTCGTGGTATTTTTGGAACATTGGGTAGTCCAATTCGATTGTTGAACTGAAGTACTCACTGATTGCGGATGCTATTTTGAATTAGCCCCCACGTTACTTCTCACCGAGTTGAGACGTAATCGGATCCTCACCAGAGTTTATCGTTCGGTAGCTAAGAGATTAGTCAGATAGTTTCATCGACAGTTGAAAAGTTCTCTGTCAGCCAGTAACAATCTTGTGTGGCGTGAGTTCTTACCATTAGTCTTGCTTGGTCTCTTCACAGTTCCCTTTCCTAACCCATTATGCCCAGAAACCTGCTCGACCCTGGCTGCTTCCTAGAAAGCAGATAACCACACTGATCTACATTCAAGGTTAGCTGCAATTCATTTGACCACTCCCGAACAGCATGCAGATCCTGCCGTATTCACACGCACGGATTTCTTACAACCTTCATCAGCAGTGACGTAGCACGTAAAATTCAGGTTTTCAATAGGATTACTGGTCAACAATGAAATCAACAGTGGTCCAAGCAGTGATCTTCCAGGTGCTCTGACAACGACTGCACCTTTTGTGGATTTTTGTCCTGCTGTCTCTACATATAAGGGGCGATTCCTCAGAAAGTTTTCTATCCATCCCAGCGGTCTTAAAGAAGAACCGTTGTCATCTAGTATCAGAGTTAGCCATCAGTAGTTCACACATTTGAATGCTTTCTTAACTTCCAATCAGCAGATCATGACATTTTCCACTTTAAGCTCTCCGTGATCTTTTTGAGAGCACAGACCAAGTTGATGAGACAAGACCTACCTATGTTGTTGCGTGGAAGCTGCTTATTCCCAGTGAGCCGTCTGATAATCTTATGTTTGTTAGGTCTTCCCAACATCTTCAAACAAACTGATGTGAGGCTTATTGACCAATAGTTTTGCATTACATGTTCCGTACCATCCCTTATGAGAGGGTAAAATCCCTACCTTTTTCCAGCCACTTGGAGAATGGAATTAAAACCGGAGAGGTAGGCTTCCACAAATCATTGTTCACAGATATCGGTTTCTGTTTACGGCTACATTCTGTTCC